GGGACTCCACCAGAGCGTTATGAAATTCTTACTCACTGGTGTCTAATATGAGGTTGTGAAGGGTTACTGTAGATAAAATGACCAGCTGTTTCTCCTCCGCTGAGGTCAATGCTCTGGGAACAAAGTACCAGCAACTTGGAGAGGCGAGGAATTAGTATTGAGATGGATGGACCATGGGGGAGCTGGGAAGCCAAAGAATAGACAGTTCACCATGGGAAACCAGTATAACCCTTTAGATGTCTAAGAAGAATTAAAGGGGCAATCTTTAGACGGTGGTTGTTATGAAGGGGCTTGCAAATACCCTCATGGGGTCAAGTTCCCAGGCAACTCTAAAGTTTAGACTGACCACTTGAGTCTCTTTAGCAGCAGGAAATGTGAAGGAATGCTGAAAGTGGTCTCTACCTTCAAGAGGCTTGTACTGAACTATAGGTCTTCATGTAAATCACTGTTTGGGTTGGAGTGGCCACAGTAGGCTTTATATAGTGAAGAGTGGGACTGCTGATGGCCAATATGAACAAATGCATTTGGGACACACAGACTGGGACAGAAGGGAAGACATTTCAGGCAATGGCAACTCCAAAATCCCTTTGGTTTACTCTGAAGCACCACACTGGAATACTGCTTTGATCCAAGTTACACTTTTATGAGGAAGGGAAGACTACTGGGAAAATATACAGGAGCAAGCTATTCCATTTTTCTTTCCTTCTAATTCCTTGTGTAGCATAGTCATATGCCAGTTCTCAGAAAAGCTACCGAGGGAATGCACACAAAGGACAAAGATATCAACTACAAAGCAGGCATTCTGACTGAACATGGTGGCCCATGGCTGTACCACCAGCACTTGGAAAGAAGAGGCAGATCAAGGGCACCCTTGGTTACACAGAAGACTACAGGCCAACCTGGGCTACACGACATCTGGTTTAAAAGAAAAAATCAACCCGGGAAACATAGACACCCTTGTGAAGAGAGGCTCTGTTATACTATAGACAGAGCAGGCTATAGTTACATATTTAGGAATATATATGCAAACAATTTAAAAAAGAGGCATGATTTGAAGGAGGGTAAGGAAGTGTGTATGGGAGAGCTTAGGGAGGAAAAGGAAGGAGTAGGTCCTTTATATTATATTATATCTCAAAAAATACAAGAGATAAATTTTAAAAAGAGAAGTTTGTAGTCTGGAATTATTGCCAAGAAAGCAAATTAATTAACAAGTGGATTACTTCAAGTAGTATCTGCCAAGCACCTAACTCCATATGCACCTGTCTTCTTGGTGTTTAGGACGAACGGAAGACACAGGAAGAGGTGTACAATCCCAGGATGTTTTTAATTCTAACACAACCGATCCCTACTTCCTTCCTGTAAGTAAGCATTTGAGACGAATATTTCCTTCCGGGATTGTAAGGAGATGAAAGGCGCTGATGTGCCAGGGAAGTGGCTCAGGGGTTAAGGTACTTGCTGCCGGCCTGGTACTCAGACACCAGAAGCCAACTAATGAAGACTGTCCTCATGCACCATGTAAATAAATAAATGCAATAATTATTCTTAAAGTGTGCATCAGAGAGACTGCTCAGTGATTAAGAGTGTGTACTGCTCTTTCAAAGGACCTGAGTTCAGTTCCCAGCACTCATGTCAGGTGGGCTTATAACTGCCTATAGCTCCAGATCCAGGGGTTCCCATGACCTCTTTTGGACTCTGCGGGTACTCAACTCACCCACACTCAGGACACATGGAGAGGCTGGTTATGATGGCACACGCCTTAATTCCAGCACTGGGGAGGCAGAGGCAGAGGCAGGGGAAATCTCTGTGAGTTCAAGGCCAGCTTGATCTACAGTAAACCCTGTCTCAAACAAACAGATATGCATATACATAATTCTTAAAATTACACACACACACACACACACACACACACACAGAGAGAGAGAGAGAGAGAGAGAGAGAGAGAGAGAGAGAGAGAGAGAGAGAGAGAGAGAGAGAGAGAGAGAGAGAGAGAGAGAGAGAGAGAGAGAGAGAGAGAGAGAGAGAGAGAGAGAGAGAGAGAGAGAGAGAGAGAGAGAGAGAGAGAGAAGGCAGATTGCCATCTTAGAGAAAAGTGTATGTTAAGGAAACATTGGTAATACTTTCAAAAAGACGACTCATATACCTCCATATGCAATGTTTTTAATCAGAGCATTTGAGTAGGGGAAGATAGGAATCAGCAAAAGCCATGAGAAATAAGGGAACTGCTATTTAGCATTACTCGGGGTATCAAGAGACACAGGGCAGTGGCTGGACTCCCCCCAGACCCTGCTCCTCTTCTTGAAGACTGAGCTAAAGCAACAGCGTGAGGCTATGGAGTCACACATCTGCTTCCAATCCACTTCCGTGCTCTTTTCCCAGTTAGAGTCATTTGTACAGCACATGCTGCGGTCTTCAGCAAAGTTACAGAAGAAATCCACACACGGGGCAAAACAATTAAACACACACAAAAGCACACATCACTGAATTCAAAGTAGATAGAGAGCCTGTACATCACTTCTGATTAGAAACAAATCATCTCACAGTTCTTTTGCTGTCTAATTTGTTCTGCTCACCCACAGCTGATGGTATCTAGCCTTTACTCTTCTGGTTTTGGGGTGTTCTATCTTTTTTGGTTCCCCACTAGTCTAGCACTAGATTGTCTGAATCTAGCACTAGAGATGAACTTATTAATTTTCAATCTTCTTTTATGTGTTGGGATTAAGTTTTCTAATGTGAAACCTATTACTTTTCTTTAAAAATTTTTTTTTAAGATTTATTTTTATGCTTGAGAGTTTTGCCTGCCTGTATGTGTCTCTGGTGCCCCCAAAGTCAGAAGAAGGTGTTGGATCCCCCTGGGACTGGAGTCAGGTATGGCTGTAAACCATGTAGGTGCTGGGAACTGATCCTGGGTCCTCTGTAAGAACAAGAAATGAGCCATCTCTCTAGCCCTGTTTCCTTTTCTTAAAGCATTGCTTCAGTGGGGCCCAAGGTGGAATCTGCTCAGTGGTGTCACCTTCAAAAGGAATATTCTGCTCATGGGATATGCTTAAAAAGAAGTACAAAACCATTCACGTCTCTTAGTCATTGCTCTCGCCTTACAGAGGTTAGGAAAACACTCTTCAGACAGGTTTGAATGTTACTCACCCTTATGAATTCTTTTCCATCAAGTGTCAATTTCTAAAGCACTAAAAACAAAGTTCAAGGACAATTGTATCTTCTTAGTTAATTTTCTTCCACTGAGAAAACATCAAGCTCATGTTCCCACCATAGGGATTTCGGCTTCTTTCCCCACCTTGCCTTTTGTATCCTTCTCACCCAGTTGCTCTTGAGACATCCAGAACACCATTGGAGGCGGATGCCTTACCTTATCGGTGACTCTGGTTATTCTGTGAAAACCTCATGTGTAATGCAGAACATCAATTACTTTTGATTGCTTATCTGGAACCTGAGTGACAGGCTACCCTTCAAAGAAAGATGGCAGTTGAGACACACACACACACACACACACACACACACACACACACACACAAACTGACAAAATTCAGGGAACAGCCGCATCAATTTTAAGAAGATGGGAAAAAAATTTTGAAGCAAGATGACCCGACTGTCTGGAGATAGCGTTCTTTAAAGACTGTGGATGACACGCACAGATGTGGGTGGAAACAACACATCTGCAGATGCTGGCAGGCAGAATTTCTTGCCAAATTTGCCCCCCCCCTTTTAAAAAAAGATAAATAACTTTACAGTGATATATTGGGCTGCAATTACATAAACAACAGAAAGTACTAGGACCTAAGCCTACAAGTTTTGTGAGTTTCAAGACTTTATGCAATCAATATTCTGACATCTGTAATGCAAATTTTTCCTACAGTGCTGATGCCAGAAACTAAGAGTTTGATGAGTTTTGTTCAGATTTTGAAACAAACTCAGTTGGGTTCTTTAGGATAACAATCCTTGCACCACTTTTTATTTACTTTTCTTAATTTGGGTCATTAAGAAAGGAATAATCATCTCCTTATTAGGGAAAGTTTCATTAAAAAGGCTTGGGGTACAGCCTGTTTCAAAAACCAATACTTGTAGCTTATATTAATAGTTCTAAATGTGTAAAGGCCTGTTAAATGAAAACAACCTTAACAACCTGAAGTTCAAGCAATAAGAAATTTTAAAAAGCTGGCCACAAATAACAGGAAAACATTCAGTCACTTTGAGACAGTCTTGCTTATGAAGCCCAGGCTAACCTTGAGCTCATAGTCCTGTACCACCATGCCCAACACAACCTTCTTAATCTTTCCTTAGAAATGACTATTTTAGGGAAGTATGAAAATGGTGTTAACCAAAAAGGAGTTGCAGAGATGACTCAATAAAGTGTTTTCCACTTAAGCACAAAGACCTGAGTTCGGGTCAATGGTGGGCATCTGTAATCCCAGCCCTGAGAAGATAGAGGCAGGCAGGTCAACAAGTTCTGTCTTAAAAGAAGTTAAAACAACAGCTCTGAGCTCTAAATGTTCTGAGACTGTTGCTGCCTCTCTTGGCAAATTACCCTCCAGCTCTCCTGAGAATCAAAGTTGATTACTGAGACAGTGCTTTTGAAAAATCTGGGAATTAGGTCAAAGAGCACGTTGCTACAGGCACTTCCATCTTCTCTTCCTTCACTCGGCTAGGCCAGCGTTTGTACATCTATTACCCTCTATACAGTGGAGGAGGACTGCACATTAATCTCTGAAGGAGTAAAGAAAATTCTATTTTAATTTATTTATAGACAAGGTCCTCACTGGCATGGAATTCATTGTCCAGCTTTGAACTCAAAAGATTTGTCTGCCTGGAAAGAAAAATGTAAAAGCTGTTTTGTTTTCCTCTTTACTACTCTCTTTGGCCCTCTCCATGGCTCAAATAACCTGGACAGACGACAGACACATAACATGTGTGCCTGGCTCAAGCAACCTGGGCAGATGATACCATGTGTGCTTGCCTAAGTTGCCATTCTTTAAAGGAGTAGTCTGACATAAGAATCTGAAAGGAAACATTTATTAAATACATATTCCAAAAACATTCAAGCTTAAAAAAAATACAGCATAAGACAAAGTGTGTACACACATTGATCTATCAGGATTCAAAACAGGAAAGTGAATATACTGATGACCTGTGATTATACGAAGGGAACTCTTCAGCAAGTTTATCCTCCTGACCCCTGGGAACCTTGGCATTCTATCACAGACACAGGGCAGTTCAGAATGTAAAAAATGCATAGATGGCCGTGCAAGCCCTTTGCTGCTTTGTCTACGTCATTGTATTTCCTCCCAATCCACCTGAGACTGCAATGACCATTACTCTCTGAGCAAGGTCAACTTAGGTCAGAAATGCAGAAGTCTGGGTACTCCTGGAAGACAAAACCCAGTAATGTTCCCAGTTGTACCCTCACCTTTCCTTGTGGCAATTACCTAATTAAACTAAGATAGTGTGACAAAATAGCTGTACGAGAAAAAGACTTCTGCCTCGTCAACAATCTGCACATTATTAGGTTCCCAATATAAATAAATACACCTAATGAAGAACCAGAAACTCTGCAGTAAGCACCGTGTAACTTACAGGAAACAACTATATTGAGTGGTGTCATTTCCCCTATGTCCCTGCGGTAACTGTGTTTATATGCACACCTATAGGAAAGATCACTGTCTCTCCTGTACACCACCAAGAGCCAGTTCCCCAGGCATACACAGCGTAGGCCACAGACATCTGGAAACAGTCTTTTTCACTCATTTACTCCCTGTCACATCTGTGACCTTTATGACCCGTTCCTTGACCCATGCATCAGGCTAAGGCTGCTCCAGAAGCAGAGAAAACCAGGGAACTAAAGATCTGACTATACTTGGTGGTTTAACTCTAAGATCACATAGAGGCCTCCCCCTGGATCTTGAATAATTCCCCATCTGCTTACAATCTGACATCAGAGCAAAATATTGTAACTTTAAAAATAAGTTAGTCATCCTTCCCTGGACTTGGATGCAAACAAGAACCTGTGATTATCTACCCCACCTCACAACACACAGCAGTGATGGTAAATGGAAAACCACCTCAGGAGCTCATATCTTTAAAGAATGGATGCAATAAGGCTGCCTCTGCTGTTATCCTTGAAGCTGGGTTTAGATCCAGAAGTTTGTCAAGCAGGTCATAGGCTTCATCAGGTACCGAGTCCCAGCCTTCCAAGTTGGTAGTGCACTCCCTGGGACGACTCCCACAGTCATCACTGTCCCCTTTACACAAGGAACCCTCTGAGTGCTGTGCTGGAGGCGTCTGTCCGAGGGAAGAAGCTTTATGGTCAGTGTTCTCTAGAGAGGCACACCCTGGTGGATCAACTGCTAACTTGGGAGTGGTGGGGTCTAGACCCCTTAGTCTCTCACACAGTTTCCTCAGGTCTTGTGCTGGGACTTCTTTGCTACACAAAACTGATTTGCCTAAAAGAGAAAAAAGAATTATCTGAATATTATCAGAAGCAACTCACAAGGAACATGTAAGTCTACTATTTGCCTCGTGAATGTGTCAACCTTCATGAAAGCCAGACTACTAAGTACTAAGTAGGGGCAGAAAGCAGGCACTCCCTGAGCTATCACCGACGTCAGCTTCGCTCTCTAAGGAGCTGGGGCTCCACCTTTCTGCCTCCTTTCAAACCCGAGTGCCTCAGGCACAGCTTCCTGTGTACAGACCTCTGCTTAGCTCAAGAATCGCATCTTCGAGGTGTATTCAGAAAGACCTTGTTAAGTTTCTGTTAATCAGTGGAGGGCAACTAATGACACCTGTCTGTCTCACCTACAAGACTGTGAGCTCCTTGAAGATTAAGATGTTTTTTGAACTCCCCATACCGATTGATTCCTGGTACACACAGATGCTCAGTTACTGTCTGCTGTACTAGACCCTGTATACTTGGATATTCTAGATGCTGTTCTACATCAGCCTATCCGAGGCATACCCTTTCTTTCTTCTCTACACTATCCCTCTGTAATAGTAAATGTCTCCTGGGACTATGACTCTATTACTGTCGGCTCACAATGAGTAGCACCTGGTACCCACACCAGGCGTGTTCATGAATCAATCAATTAACAAACCAGATCTCAGGTTTTCTCAAAAATATAAATGTCAGGCTGGGGAGGTAACTCAGCAGACAAAGCACTTGTTGCATGAAGTGTGAGGACTGGGGCTCTGGTCTCCACAACCTACACCAACAAATGACTAGAGAATGTGGAGGCACACCTATAACTCTGGTGCTCAGCAGGTAGAGACAGGAGACCTCCCAGGGCAAACTGGGCTGGAAGAACAGCCCTGTCACCACACTGTGCCTCCCTGAATAAGGACAGCAAACAAAGGAGGCTGCTGGTGTCAACTTTAGGCCTCCACAAGCACGCACATACAACATTTTTTAAAAACATAAATGTCTTTAAAATAACCTGCCATCAATTTCTTATAAGAATGGGCAAAAGTAAGTACAGAAACAGGTAATCATGAACTATACATCTCATAAACAGACATTCAGCTTTAAACAATGACATGCACATGTAGACTCCTTGACGGAGTACACAGCTTGCCAACAAAGCAATCTTGGTCGTAAAAAGCCTCCTTTACATATTCTAGTATAACTACTAGGCAGGAAAAAGGATGAGGTGCTCAGGAATGGAGAAAGAAAAGAAAGCAAAATAACACAAACTAGGCTTAGTGAGAATGTAACATCTGAGTCTATTTTTATTTTTAAAACTCACATCTACTTTTGCTAGGAAATTCTAACCAGAGGTCTTTTATCCCTAAATTTATCAGCTTGCTCTGGTATCCTATGATAAAAGTTCAGCAAATCCTAGGCTATATGTACACACAAATTTTATCACACCTATTAGTAATGAGTCAAACCACCTAATGAACACATTCAGCCAGGATATATTGTGTCAGGTTTTTGTTTCAGCTCAAAGTTTTCATTGAATTTATTCAAGACAATTCAACAAGTATTCAATGACTGCCTACAATGCACAACACTGGCAAGTGAGCACTCTGTCCGAAACAGCACGTCTGTGGGCACCAAGTCTCCCGCACCCTGTTCAAGTTTGTAAGACCTGTTTGAAGTAATTCCATTACTGGTCCTTGTTATAATAACTCTGACTGTCAATGAGGTAAAGAAATTCAAGCTTTTCAACAAAATGTTTTGGTACTGACTGACAAACTCCAGATCCCCAACCTTCTCGTGGAGCCATTTAACGGGAGGTGGACGGTTTTAAGTAGTTGAGAGCAGAGCAAATGTAAGCACGTCCCATTCTTTGTACTGTTACCTAACGTCAGGGCAGCAGCGCCACTCCTCCCTTGTGTGTGTTAGTTCACAAGGTAGACAGGCACAAACCGCAGTCAGTGTTGCTGACTACTTTTTGGCAAGTCTGTTTTGAGACTTTTCTAAAGACCACCATACAGATTTTCCGGGACATTGGACCTTGGCAACTGGTGCTCCAAAACAAGGGCATTAGAAGTAGTCCCTTCTAATTAAGTATTCCATTTTTCTAAATTATATTTTCCATGTAGTCAGGATTGGGGCACAAGTTTATAGATCTTCAGTTCTCAGTCAGTTCTGATATGTCTTTCTGCTTAAGAACCACTGGTTCTGGGGCTGGGCACATGGCAGCTTAGTTACTCTTGAGGCAGGCCAACTGAGAGATTGACCATATCATCACTGACTGACACACACCCACGCTGGAAATAGCAACTACAACACTTAGACACATGGTGGGATTTGAGTTTGTGCCATGAGAGCAAGGCTGAAGTAATCCTCAGGCACCCCAAAGAATGCATTATCCTAGCTGGGTGTTGGTGGCGCATGCCTTTAATCCCAGAACTCGGGAGGCAGAGGCAGGTGGATCTCTGTGAGTTCGAGACCAGCCTGGTCTACAAGAGCGAGTTCCAGGATAGGCTCCAAAGCCACAGAGAAACCCTGTCTCGAACCAACCCCCCCCCAAAGAATACATTATCTTAGTCTTAACCTGTGTTGCTAATATTTAAGCTCATGAGTTAGGTGTAGTTAGGTGTAGTCTGTAATGCAAGCACTCAGGAGGCAAAGGCAGGCAAAGGCAGAAGGATCTCTGTGAGTTCCAGGCCAGCCAGAGGTATACAATCAGACCCTGTCTCAAAAAGTAAAGAAATGACATATACTTCTTGTTTTACTTCTTTGTCACCCTAACCCCAAGGAAAGTGAAGACTAGTGAGTACACATTCCTATTACCTTCCCTTATAGTAGTCCTCACTTCAGTGCCAAGTACCTGATGCTCAATATACAGCAGATTAAGATTTACTATTAGAAACATTTACATAATAAAAGCCAAATTACAATCTGAGAGTTAAGATTGCAAAGCCAATTTCTTCTAGCTAGTTGACAAAGAAATGTAAAGTTCGGCTTTTAATACTAGGGTCATTAGTACTCAGTGTGTGACAATAGCAAATGATTTTTAAAGAAAATGACTGTTTTCAAGCAAGTGAATAATTTCTGAAGAGTAGATGACTTTATGAATACAGCACTAGTTTATTTGCAAGGAGAATTGTGTAACAATTTATTTAGCAATTTATAGGTGATAATCAAAAGCATCTGTGTTGTTCTAGGATATAAAACTTACCAAAAGCTTTAGCAGCCTGGATAGTTTCCCTGGATCCTCGAATTGTCATGATTTGAGCCAGAGCAGTTAAATCATCGCTGGCCTTGTAAAATGGGTACCGCCCACTGAGCAGGGAGAGGAGTATGACACCTGCAGACCACATGTCAATGGCTGTGACAGAAAACAAACTCTGTGAACATATAACTATCTAAACCAGTAGCTTCAGACCTTTACTTCAAGCTAACATTGTCTTAGAAACATTGAAAGTCAGGGCCCATGGGCTTGCTCCAACAGAATTCCCATCAAGTAGCTGTGGAATAGACACTTAAGTTTCTTGGGAGATTTTAATGTATATCCACGACTCTAATTCAACATCCTTTCAGCAAAACAGCTATCTCTTGAACACATTGGTGAATCACAAAGTTTTAAGTAAATGCACATTTTATAGGACCAAAGGAAATTCAACAACAGCTACATAGGGAGATTCGGGGTGCTTTTCAAGACAGTGGTTCGGTAGTGCTGGTGTTCTCCTTTGAGTGAGAACAGCGACAGAATAAAACCAGAACCAACCTGACCTGAGTCTTCCTGCTAACCATCCTGGTATTAAGTTATTGCTCTGTTCCCGTAGCCACTCACTGTCTTTCTTAGTTTCGTTTTACCACTGTCTGCTCCTTCAATGTCACCACCTCCACCCTGTGCTGAGGCTCCTCAGAATTTCCATTTCTTCCCTGCACATTCTCCCTCAGAGTTCCATCCACTTTACAGCTGCGACTATCATTTACATACTAATGCTCAACCAAGTTCCCATTCCAGCTCCTTCCCCGAGCTTTGGAGCTTTGGACGTGTAACTTTCACTCTGTAGGACATTCTATTTGGATGTACCATAAATCTCAAACCAGCCATGCTCAGTGCAATTTTACTGCCCTATAAACCAGGCTCTCCTGCCTTCTCTATCTTGTTTCCCCGTCCATGTCCATGTCCCTCAGGCTAGTGATGTAAACAACCTGGATGCCCTCAGAGCCCTATGCGCATTTTGACAACATCAACTAAGCTCTGCATGTCAATTCCTTACCTTTTTTTTTCATTCCTGTCACCAATGCCATCATTCATGTATTCCTCACCTCTCACCTGGATACTAGCCTAAAGAATATGTTCTTCCTGCACATCTGCAGTGACCTTGAGTACAACTGTAAAGTCTTCAGTTGTATGGCATCTATGGTCCACAGCTCAACAAACAGGTTTAACAAGTGTAACCTGTATCTTCCCATTGTACTTCCAATCATCTCCTGGACTTCCAGTTTCCTCTACAGTCAGACTATGCTGTTTCCTGAGCTTCTCAAGGCGTGACCAATGCCAGTCTCCAACTTTATAATATTTCCTCAGAGGTCATCTTCTCTATGAGCTTTGTTTCATAACCCCTTTGGGTAAGAACAGATGCCCCTCAATACCCTATACAGTTTTATCATCACATTCAACAAGTCATTCTGTGATTAAGACCATGTGTGTCCTAACTATAATGTGAACAGGTAGTTGTACTTCTTGTGCTACATACCTGTGGTTTGGTTAGGACACTTTGTCAGGACCTCTGGTGCTCTGAATCCTGGTGTGCCTGCCCGAGGGGCAACCTGCTGCCGCCTTATGAGGAAGAATTAAGACATCTAGTTATGTTAAAACTGAACTATTGGTGGGGCATGGTGGGCGCATGCCTTTAATCCATCCTAGCTTAGGAGATAGAAGCTAGCCTGGTTTACACAGACAGAGCTCCAGGACAGCCAGAGCTACATAGAGAGAACCTTTCTAAAAAAAAAAAAAAAAAAAAAAAAAAAAAAAAAAAAAAACCCACAAAAATGTTGAACTATGTTAAGTCCAAAAAATAAGCTATCGATTTAGTTCACATTAAATTCTGTCCTGGTGTCAATATAAATAAAATTGTTATAAGCACTGTAAACTGTGATAAATATTCTCTATTTTACTTTCATTCTCCACCACCAACCCCCACACCCTGGCATTATCCCAGACAGATTTTTAACACAATTTCCAAGCATAAAAACAGATGGCAGATAATAAAAACTGTAATAGAAAAACAGAACACAACAGGAATTTATATAAAAATTCTTTTGTTTGGGGATCTTGAGTTACTGATACACTCACTCATGTGTAGATTTGAGTTAATCAGGAGGAATCTATAAAAACCAAATCTAAAGGAAAAACTTCCAAGGCAGAGAGGCGTATGAAGCATTATTTGGTCTTCGTTACTCAACACAGGCAGGAGTAGAAGACGACAGAAACAATGATTTGTGCAAGAAATGTCTCCAAGGGTCTCATCCACCACCCTTAGCTGCACATGAGAGCAAATGTGTTTTCCAGGGAAAGTGTCTTCATCAAACGAATACATGACAACTGTTAGCTGTCCAGTGTGTGTGCCGGGGCCCATGTTTACTCCTTCTCACTCATAAAACCAATATCCCACTGACGTTTTCCAATTCTAATCGTGCCTGGTGGCACTCGGTGACTCTAAGGCACCTCAGAAACACCTTACCTCGACAGGCAAATGCTGCAGACTTTATCTGTTCCATAACAGTCGCAGGTCAGGACAGCCGGGCAAGGACTGGTGGTTTTCCTCATCGCACTAGCCACAGCTTTTGTAGACATGGTCACACTAGCCACAGCTTTTGTAGACATGGCTGTCTTTTTTGTTGCTGGCTTTCTTGAGATTATGTCCACAGTCTTTGATTGCTTTATGAGCTACAAAATAAATAGATAAACACAGTTGCATTTTCTATTTTCGTGACATTTAACACAATGCCTTCAAATGGGGGCATGGTAAAAGCACTTTCAGAAGCATAAATTTCATTCAAAACTGCTGAAGGAAATACTGGACTGCAATTCAACAGTTGTCTATTAAAATGTTTTAAGGCCACTGGGCATAGTCATGGTTGGACATGTTAGTAATAGCTGAACTAGGGAGGCTGAGGCAGGAGGATTCCAAGTTTGATGCCAGTCTAGGATATGTAAGAAAACCCTGTCTCCACAAAAGAAAAAAAAAAAAAGTTTGGCTTTCTGTCTACCAGCATTAAAATTTACTAATTAGCTTGGCAAATATTTGACTTTATTAGAACTTTCCTGACACACTGGAGAAGCACTCTAACAGTACTAAGAGTTACTAATTACTAAGGCCTAACTCCATTTCACAACTGTATCCCTCAGTTACACCAAATCTGTTATTTGAGCTCTTGCTGTCACAGGGTCCTTAATTCAATTTAAAATCGTCTAATCTGAAGGTACTTTACAGGTATGTGTGGGGACTGTAAGGTGCTGAGAGCTCAGGAGAAGTCTAGCCCTGTTATAAATGTTCCAGAAAAGCAACAGCTCATCAGAATTAAAAACTCCACCAAAAAAGTTCAGAAAAAAATTAAAGATGATTGAACAGGGTAAAAATGCCTTCTGCCAAAGCTAAACTCTACCACATGCTCTAGCGCTAACTCCAGCAGATTCCCTGAGCTTGTCAGCAGGAGACTGGTGGACGGGCGAGCTGGGAAGCTACATTACTTACTTTCTCTGCAGGGCTCTCATGTGAAATGGAGCTGTGTATATTGAAATTTCTTTCTCCAAAAACAGAGCGCTGGACAGAAAGGCCTACAGATCCCTCCTACAATACCAACAAAAACAAGGAAAATAAGGGTTACATCTGTAACACTTTCTGCCAGCTGTACTCTGCCATAGTTTTGAAAGAGTTAAGTGACATAAAACAAAAACAGCTGCAACCAAGACATTCTCAGGCACCAAAACACTGTGTGAAAGGAAAAAATAGTCTAGGCAACTCGTAACATTGTAACACCCACCCAGTGTAACCACAGTCCACACAGTAATTACCATAGTCTATGCACAGTGTTACCATGGTCCACGCACAATGTTACCACGGTCCACACACAGTGTTACCACAGTCCACACAGTGTTACCATAGTCCACCTACAGTGTTACTACAGCTCACACACACATACACACAAGACCCAAGTCTCTAAAGCCATTTGCACAGATGCTTCATTTTCCTGTGATGCTAAAATGGAGACAGACACTTGGAAATTTTCCCTATGCTTTTTAAAAAGGAGAAAGGACATTTAAATTTTATAATACACAGGGAATTTTTCCTGTTTTATCATATAAAGTAATCTATAACAGCAAAGACTATAGGTTGACAAAGTAGGAAACTTTAGGTTGAAATAGAGTAACAATCTTAGTGAAAAAACTAACCAACTGAAACATGTAACAAAGGTTTTTAAAAAAGCGTTTTAATCACAAGTACTACCCTAGCATTCTATTTCCCCCTGCTGGTTGATGGAAAATACTCCTAAACATTGAATCTGAAAATGTAAAAGGTAGAACCTTTGCGTCTTTCCCTTGCTTAATGTGAATTTGTGCGCTGGCATAGGATCTTTTGACAGAAGTTTTTGCAGCACACTGCTGATCCAGATTTTTAGGTGCTGGGCGACTCAGTGAGCCCTTTTGTCCAGTGACTCCGTGGTACTTGCTTTGTGAGCAATCTTCCTGCTGAGCCTCAGATTGGACAAACTTGAGAAGTTCTATTTTTGTGTCATGAGTCCCTTGGGCCAAACCAAAGTCCACCAAGGCATACCTAAGAAGCAAAATAATGTATTATCAGCCTCCTACAGCACCTTAACCTTAATAACATTGTAATGCTCTCAAAGCACATTTAGAAACTGCAATTCATTCCAGAACAATTAAGAATTTACAAATGGGGTAGGGGGGGCTGGAAAGATGGCTCAGCAGTTAGGAGTACTGGTTGCTCTTCCAGAGGACCTGGGTTCAATTCCCAGCACTGACATGGCAGCTCACAACCATCTACAACTTCAGCTCCAGGGAATCTGATACCTTCACACCAACACACATAAAATAAGGTTGAATAAATTATTTTTTAAAAAGAATTATAATAGTAAAAAAAAAAAAAAAGGAAAGAAAAATTCTAAAGGACGTAATAGCTAAGACTGAAAATCAGAGAAAAGATGAACCCTTAAACCAATGGGTCACTTAAGCACTCTTTCTACTTGTGGCCTGTGTAGAGACAGGGAAGGAGGGGGATGAAAAGAAACAAAAAGCAAACTCCTTGGCCACTCAATGGTGGGAAAGGGGCATTATAACAGGTAATTTCTAATGAAACAATATAAAGACATTACAATATAAAGAAAACGAAGGGCTACAGAATTAAGCCTTAATTTTCTTATCATACTAAGTATGGTATATAATATAAACACTGTTTTCAGCTTGTAAGATCTCTTCCATATTTATTCAACAAAAATACACTTATCACAACTTTGGTGTTAAAACAGGAAGTTATGTGTTCGGTGTTCCCCTTTTACTAAAATGAAAATATGAAGCCTAGAAAGAAGGGCTCTAAGGTCAAATCGGGATAGATTCTAAGTTTCTTTCATCTGAATGCATAGCTCATGATGTACACTGTGCATTTTCCTCACTGCATTTCCTCTCCTCAATCACTATAAAAACTTGAACAGAAACCATGTGAACACTGGGGCTGTTTACACTGTACATCTAAGAGATGGACTCCACAGTGCAAATTCAACTGTAAATGTTTCCTAGGATTCTTCCTACTTACTTTTTCAGACGTCTATTATATAAAAAATTGCTGGGCTTCACATCACGGTGAACAATACCAAACTGATGAATCCGTTTCAGAGCTATGAAGAGATTAAACATATATTCCCGTACTTCTTGGAAGGAAAGAGAATTCAAAATGTCCTAAAATAAAGTTACGAATGAAGTCACAAAACTATTTCTACTAAACATTCAACTAGTTAAAGTTATAAGACTATTAAAACTTACCAAAAATGACTCATGTTCCAGATACGGCATGGCAATAACCACATGGTCGTTCTTCCGGAAGCAGTACTTAACTCCCATGACATTGTCTTGCCCCCTGGTGGGAAATGCACAGTGAGCTAACTTTGGAGGGAAGGTCAGATGCACTGTCACTTTATGACTTAAAAATGAATTATTATTTAGCAACACATATGCACTAGAAAATGCAAAATCACATTAGTGATTATAACCATTTAACTGACATAAAGATAAAAATTTCAAACAAATATAGCACCAGTTACCGAAGGTTACTATAACAACCTAAACCTGAAATATCTACAGTTTTAACCAAGGAAGTGGAATCTGCTTACTAGCAGATAAGACATTAGCAGCAATAGGTTTTAAAAGTAAGTAACATTCATTGACTATCACTATAATCAGCCAAAGCTCTGACATACTAATAAACTCAGTCTTGACCAATTCTGAAACACTCGGTCCCAGTGGAATGCCTTCATGAAACCTCTCCACCTCCATGAAACTTCCTCCAAGAGGAAGCAGGAGGATCTCAAGACCCCAAGGAAACAGTATTCCAGACACAACAGACTGAAGCATGTACAAACTCACAGAACTGGCAGCACACACAAGGTCTGCACAGGTTCAAGCCAGACGGGGTCCCAGAGCCGTGGGGCATGATGGCCAACAGAAAAGGAACTCAATGTAGTATTGTAGATGTTTTGTCTCATGTTGTTTCGTTTGGGCTTTTGCCTATATATAGTCTTTTGCCTATTTATTAAGGTTTCTGACCTTGTGTTTTTATGGGTTTTGTTGGGTTATGTGTGTTTGTGTTTTTTCTTTTCTTTTTCATTTCAATTCATGCATTTACTCAGAGATCTTCCTGCCTCTGCCTCCCAACTTCTGAATTAAAGGTGTGCACCACCAGGCCTGGCCTTAGTCTGTTCTTTTGTTTGTCTGTTTGTTCACTTTCTATAGAGAGAAAGGGTGTGGAGTTGGGTTGATGAGGAAGTCCTAGAAGGAACTGGGGGATGATCAGAATATACTGCATGAAAAATTTTCAGTTAAAAAACAAATCCCCAAACATCAGCCTCACAACACCCTCATAGAAAATTTTATTCTCTGCCCCTTTTTACCAACATGGAAACAAGGCAAGGAGAATGTCCTCAAAGTCAGGAAAGGAGTTAAATCATGAAGGTATGACTGAATCTAGGCATTTTTCTCTAGATATATACTGCTATTCACTGTGCTTGACTTCTTTGTTCAAGATGGGGACTTTAAAGGGAAGGTCAGTGTAGTTATTAGTGAAGTAGGAAACCAAAGGAGGAAGCATCTAAAACCAAGGACTACACATTAACCTCCCCACCTTTCATAGCAGGAAGCCATGTAAGGGACTGAGGAAAGGCACTTGCAGAAGAGATACTTTTTTGGGGCCCAGGATCTCACACTGAAATTTGGTCTGGCTAGAAACTCATGGGGATCCTCTGCCTTGGCACTGTTGGGAATATAGGCACGCCAGATTTGGATGGCGTCAGTTAGGAGTAACATGAAGATGAGGATGGTATCTACATGTCTGGCTTGAGCAACTGAGGCAGATGAGAACATTTGCTGGACTGGTTATTTTCTGGCTAAGCAAGACAGGTTAAAATTTAGGGGTGTGCACATCTGGGTATGGGTACAATACACGGAAAGACAAATTATCACATTATCTTATTCATATATGGAAGCCAATAAAGTGGATCCCATAGAGTAGGAAATAAAACAGGATCACTAGAGGACAAGGTTAGTGGGCAGGGCATACAAAGAAGCTGGATAACAGTTATCAAAATAATCTGGCTAACAGCAATATGCCTAGTGTTCTCAACAGTTTAGAGCAATTGATTTACACATTTCATCTGAAGGTTTGAGACACACATAAAAAAGATAAATCTTTAAGGAGACAGAATACTTACTATTGGACCTGATTTGATCATTATACATTATTTGCATGTATAAAATCATTACATCACACTCTATAGATGTGCAATTATTCTGTGTCTATTAAAAAGTCAATTGTGTTCAACAAAGAGAGTAACAACTGAGTGTGTAGTCAAAGAGAAGTGTGTAGTTAAAAATGGTACATGTAATTAAGAAATCTGGCCATTAAAGAGAACAAAGGAACAATAATGCAGCTAGAAGACAAAGTACAACGCAGAGCAGGTGAATATTGGTCATCTCGTCCATATGGTCAGGGTTAACCCAGCAGAGAGAAACTAAGGGAAAAGATTCTGCAAATGACTCTACCCAAAGAAAAACACAGGAGACAAGGCTACCAGTATTTGAGATGTAAATAGTTCTTCCCACTAAGAACAAGCCCAAACCATAAGCAAAGGCTGGCTAGGTTACAAATAGATATGAAGTAAGAATAGAAGCCATGCTGGACTCAAGAGAAATCCCCTCTAAAGGGACTAATGGAAACTTAACCATCGCAAGGTATGGGGCAATGCACTAGCCAAGAGCAAACAGGTGACTGGAAACTTTAATTCAGGCACAATCTCATTATTCCTGTTAGACTACTTCATATATCATGAACCACATATAACCAGTTCAGCTGTAAGCTGCCTACCCCGCAACTGTCAGACACTGGAGCTCTGCTGCGATTCTTACAGGGTGGCTTGTTGGAATTAAGTGTTTCAGTGCAATCTTCTCTTCATGTCCTACTTGCAGCTGTGCCGTGGCCAAATAAACAGAGCTGAATGTGCCTACAACATAATTTAGTACATTTTTCAGTATAGGCTTTAAAAATGTTAAGGTAAACAGTGCTTTAAGAGATTAATAAATGTCTTAATGGGATAATAGATTAAGTTATAACTGTTTGTTTTATTCAAAATATTTATTACTTTCATTCTTTCCAAGAGGGAGAAAAATCTGTTACCACAGTTATTAACATTACCATGGTTTCAACAGTTTAACAATAGTAAAATATACCCTTAAATTACCTTCTCCAATTTTGTCCTTAATTTTAAACACATTGACAAGCTGAGGTACAGCTTCACAAAGCTTCTCAATGTCTTTTTTAATGCCTATGAAGGAAGTAAGAATTTATAGTTAGAATCAATGAGAGGTACTTAAGGTTTTTTTGTTGTTCATGTTGGGTTTGGGACAGGGCAGTTCCCCTCAGTCCCCGAGACAGGGTTTCTCTGTGTAACAGTCCTGGCTGGCCTGGAACTCTCTCTGTATACCAAGCTGACCTGGAATTTACAGAGTGCTGGGATTAAAGGCGTGTACCACCACCACTACTAGACTTCGACAGGGTCTTATTATAGTCCAAGCTGGCCAAGGCTTGTGGTTCTCCCACCGCTGTCTCTCAGGTACCATTACAGGAATTTGCCATCATTGCCCCAGTTTATAATTTCTTAGGTTAAATTAGCCAGGAAGTGGTGGCACACGCCTTTAATCCCAGCACTCGGGAGGCAGAGGCTGGTGGTAGATCTCTGTGAGTTTGAGACCAGGCTGGTCTACAAAAACTAGTTCTAGGACAGCCTCCAAAGCCATAGAGAAACTCTGTCCTGAAAAACCAAAAAGATAAATCAATGAAATACATCTTAAACCAAGTAATTAACCACAAAATGATAAACACTGAAAGCCCACAGAGTTGCTAAAAAGTTGCAAGTTGAAAAATGTTAACTAGCAGGAAAAATAAAATGATAGCCCCCAAAATAAACACGGCAAATTCCTACTGTATTGGGGCTACACTAAGAGATATGCTGCTAGCACACAGGTGTCCTTTAAGATGAAAATGCCAAGTTTAGAGCAAAAAAGACATGAAGCTGGGCAAGGGGGTGAATATGTCCAGCTACTGAGGACACTAAGGCAGGAAGACCACCTGAGCCCAAGGCAAGGGGTGTGCTAGTACATGCTGTTACTTCCAGAGCCTAGGACATGCAAACAAGAGCATTAGGAGTTCAAGGCCAGACTGGGTTACATAGTGACTTTTAGGCCAGACTGTCTCAAAAATTGTATGAGACCAGCCTGGTCTACAAGAGCTGGTTCCAGTACAGCCTCCAAAGCCACAGAGAAACCCTGTCTCCAGCCCCCCACCCAAATGAACATGCAATGTATGCTGTGATCACTAGATGGCATAAGGGCACAATGCAATAATCTAGAAAACAATTTTGTGTCCTTTATCAGATACAAAATCTTACAGGCCAAGAAAGTGTCAGACACAGAAGGGTCAGTCTGTCCTTAGAAAGACAGTCTTCTAAGGGTCTCTAATGGGGGGGCGGGGTAAGACCTCATTTAATGTGTCCCCTAAGTTAACAGCATCCTCTGTTTTTGACCCCAGAAAACTGCTAATTTTAACTAAATACAAAGTATAAATAGTTAAAATAAATGAAAGCAGTGACATAAAGTCCAATAACTACTGATACAAAAGAGATCTACGTAATAATCTTCAGATTCTGTTGTAGAACTGAAGCCAAGCAGGAGCCAGTTTCTCATCATTATACTCCAAATGCTTTCACATGTATTACTTTCTCAGGTGCTTTTCCTCCCTGCAGTGGTGTGGCTGGAACTCGGGGCTCACATAGCCAAGTGCTACCCATCCTGTAGCACTTGGTTCTGACAGTCTTGCTGTGTAGCTCAGGCTGGTCTTTTCCTTCTCCCTGAACGCTGGAACTCCAGGCACACGCCCCTGCTTGGCCCTCAAATCCACATAACAGCACTGTGACGTTGGCACAGTAAGAAGGAATATCTTGCCAGGCATGGCGGCACACACCATTAATCCCAGCACTCAGAAGACAGAGGCAGGCATCTCCATGAGTTCGAGGGCAGCCTGGTCTATAGAGCCAGTTTTGAGGCAGCTGGCTAGGGTATACAGAGTGAGACCCTGTCTAAAGTCAGATATAGAAACCTAGTCAGTGAAGTTACATCACTTGCTTATCAGAGACATACCACCAATGCTTACACTCACGCATCATCACTACCTTTAAAAATGGTCGGCAATAAGTATACTTTTAAAATGAATAAACTGGTACAGGTGGGCTTCTCCAGGAATTTTAGTCTAGTAGAAGAGAAAGATGTTATTACTCTTTTTGTTTGTTTTTTTCCAAGACAGGGTTTCTCTGTGTAGCTCTGGTTGTCCGGGAACTCACTTTGTAGACCAGGATGGCCTCAAACTCAGAGATCTGACTGCCTCCTGAGTGATGGGATCAAAGGCATGCACCACCAACGCCCAGCCTAGATAGGTTGTGTTCTAATGTGGAAAACTGAAAAAGCACATTTTAGCCAGGCATTGGTGGCACACGCCTTTAATCCCAGCACTTGGGAGGCAGAGGCAGGTGGATCTCTGTGAGTTCGAGACCAGACCAGTCTACAACAGCTAGTTCCAGGACAGCCTCCAAAGCCACAGAGAAATCCTGTCTGGGGGGGGGGGGGGTTTCGCAGAGAATATAAGTGACTGCTATACAAAGTTTAAAGTAGAAAAATGAGAAGTGGAAGACAGATTTGAAGAGGAGGAGGAACACCTAGAGGCAGAGATGAAACAGAGTCCAAGAAGACCCAGTGCACTGTTCTTTCTCCTACAATGAGCCACTTAAAGCAACAACTTAAGCTGTCCTCACAGGTGTGATGGAGATGCCACACAATTTCAATACAGGAGGCAATGCAACGTGACACTGGAGATGGGGGACCTAGAGTGGAACCTTGGATGCACTGAATATCATCCTCTCATGTCTGTCTTGAGCACAGAATTCCTATCTATAGCTACACATTTATCATCATCATCATTATTTCAGTGTGTAGGACCAAACCTTGTACGCACTAGTAAAGTGCTCTACCACTGAGCTGCTTCAACAGCTGTTGTTTTATCATCTACAGAAGAAAATAAAGGCGGGGATAAAAATAGTATCCATGTCTTTGGGGGTATTTAGAGGATTAAAAGTGTACACACACATTACACAAAGCTTATCACACAGTAAATCTCAATGTATGACTATGATAATTCTTACTATTATTAGGGGGAGGAGATATTGAGACAGGGTCTCTGCAGTCCTGACTGTCCTGGAGCTTGCTATGTAGACAAAGCTGGCCTCAAACACAGCAATTTGACTCTGCATCCCAAGTGCGTGAAAGGCTGTGCTGCTACTTCCAGCCATAGTTAGCTTGAGAATATTAATTCACCTTTTAATCACTGATTTATATCTAACATCTAGAGAAATGCCTGCATCTAATAAGCATACATCACTCAGATATGTTTTCAATCTCACCATAAGTAGAGAGTATGTCATTTTGGGACTTTGTATACTGACTAAAGTTCCTATACTTAGGGGATCATATAATTTAAAACAAGCTGGAAATCTTTGAAGAATAAAAAGAGAACATTAGTAATTATTTTGTGACAAAAAATGTATACTGTGTCAGACAAACCAAGATGGTTCCTGTAACCATTGTAAAAGCATGCACTGTGGTGTCCTGTACACACTGTAAATGATGCACTCAGATGTTCTGTACACACTGTAGAGCATGCACTAGGGTTTCCTGTACACACTGTGAAGCATGGAAATACTGTACTCGGGATTTCTAATTTCCCTAAATTTTCTTCAATAAGCAAGAATAATTTGTTGTATTACAAAAATTCAAAATTACTACCAAATAAAGGATTTTGAACTATTCATCTGCTATACTGGGTATTTATTTTTAATTACTTATTTAATACTATCAAAACCTTACTGTGTGGTGGATCCTCTTTGGTTCTACATATGCAAAGATACACAAATAGGTCCCAACACCCCAACCAAATAATCCAAAACTTCAATGAGGAGTTAAGGTAAGGCCCAGCCACATGATCTCATCTAGTCTGGACCTCATCAGTGTTAGTCTTTACTAAAGTGGTTTTTCTGATATGGTTTTGGCTTTTATTAAAGAACCCCATAGATAAAATCTATTTATAAGGAATCAAGGGTACTACTTATAATGCCCTATGTTGGGTTATATAACAGCCACAAACCTTTTGAAACAGGAAATAAAAATCACCCACTAATTCATCAGATTTTCAAGATATTAGCAAAAGAGCATTCCTCTGAAAATAACTCCAGAACAAGAAGAGACTCATGTATTCATACACTCCTGTTAATGAACAGTGTGCAGTGAGAGGCCACACTAAATACAGAGTGCTAAATTGTGCAAGAATATGACTATGCTGCTGGACTGTACCTGTACTTATTAATTAAAAAAAAAAAAAAAAAAAAACAGGCTGAAAAGCAGGTTGTTTTAAAAAAGTAAAGGACAGGGGAAACCAGGTAAAAACAGTAGTATTTTAAGATTAATCCAAAGCCTATAAAATGGATGGGAAATCTGAAGAGAAATGGAATCAGACAGCTTAGGTTAAGGAAGTTCACGTTACTTCAACAGGAATGGAAGATGAAGCTCAAGTTTTTAAGTTTGAAAGTAATAGTGAGTAGTCTTCATTGCCATAAAGAGGACATTGAGAAAGGTACTCATTGTGACAATAAAGAAGTTTAGTTTTAGTCAAGAAATCAAAAACGTGACAATAAAGCTTTTGGGAATACACAAACTGTAGAGGAAAAATTATTAGAGTCATTGTATGTAGGTAAACACCAGAATGGACAGTACTTAGACCTTGAACAATTCACTGTTGGAATTAGTTGATTGTTATCCATAATGTTTTTCTGACGGAACTTTCATGACTGTGATCACAGTATGGTCCTGGCACACCTGGAGCAACTTGTATTACAGGGTACTGCAAACATACACAGTAAGGACTAAAGTTGCAGGGATGTGATGTTTACTTTCAGAAAACATATAGATTAGATCAGGGCTTTGGTGTGAGGAACTTGTCTCACTCCCCCCCCCCACACACAAAACAACCAACTTTTGTGTAATAATCAATAAATACCCTTTTGCACAGCTGTTTCAGGGTCAGTTCATAGAAAACTGTTCCTCCCTGCTGTGACAGAGCCTGAATTTCATCTGGAGTGACCCTCTTTCTTTGATCATTCCAAGAAAAACAGAACACCTGGACAACAAATACAGTGCATCTCATAAATTAAAAGTCAAAATTAGTATCTTTTTGGACAAGCCTAAATTGTCTTTAAAGACAAAGATGATGGCTAGCTTTGGGGAAAGAATAGGCAACTGGGACTCTTCTGTTTAAAAACATGCATGTTAAATGAACACTACCACATGAGCAGTGGGCACAATGTGTATGTAGAGACACACTGCTTCTGGGGGAGGGGCTGAGACAGGGTCTCAGGTAGCCCAGGCTGGCTTGAACTCCTGATCCCAAGGCCTCCACCTCCACCTGAGTTTATGGACGTGAACCCCACCATCTCCAGCTGAAGGGACATGCTTTAAGCTTGTAAGATACTTTTAATCATCATCTTGAATAGTGAGTAGTGTTGTATCCTCGATACAAACCATTCCGTTCATTTCTGTCTATGTTCTGCTTCTGAACACTTAAGATCCCTCCCTTCCCTTTCTAAGGCCTAGCTTTCTGAGTAAGCCATCAGTGGCTCTGCAAAAGAAGTTCCAGTTTCAGTTTAGGCATCAACAAACATGTTTCCCTAGAAAGCCACTAGCATTTGGACCTAACCGACTTCATTTAAATGGACAAAGTTGGATTCCAATCCTCTTAAAATGCAATCCAATCCTAAACCTAGATTTTATGAATCTACATGGTCACGTGAAATCCGATGTAAACATACAATTCAGCTTATGAGTCGGGTGAGTGTGGGTTTGTTTTTGTTTTTTCCCCCTTTTATTTCTGAGACTGTAATTTAATCACTACTCTCCCTTCTCTTTGCTCCTAGCTTTTACTCCGACTAGCAGGCTGCCCGTGCACCTTTCAGAACTGTACAACCCGGGCATTACACACACATACCTGAAAGTTTAACACTCTGCTCATATTTTTTTAAGGAGTCATCAGCGGGACTCCGGTCACCGCCAAGCAGGGGAGAAAACGCCATTGGCTCCTCCATCTGAGCACCCAGGGAGGCTTCCACCACACACAACTGGCATGCACAATGCCAGCTAAGGAGTCATGTCCACGGGGGCAAAGCAGCAACTGTGAAAACTAGAACAGTGTGAGAAAGGGGGAAACACTCACTCAACAGCAAACACCATCTGCCCTTACAGGAACTAACATTAAAACCCGTGTGTCCAAATAACAGCCTGGGGGGCGTCGCTAGCACGGGCTGGGCGGGGACTCCTGCGCGCCGGCTGGGGGGCGCGCC